GCACACAAAACACCTAGAAACAACACACCCTGGCTCAACATAACAGAGTCCCAGAGCCAGGGCGTGACAACATGGATTTCTTCATACATTTGCATACACCATACACCCACTATAAATGTTTTTTCTATGGTAGACTCAGATCTGTTTCCTTGTTCAGGGTATGTCATAATGTTACAAAACCAGTTGTAACATTTTCAACAAACAGACGGTATTAACCATTTGTCTCTCTGTTAGTCTGTGTGTTAAAATATAAAGTCCTATAATATAAGCATTTATAAAACAAGTGTAATGCTTTATAACTTGTTATAAGGATGTAGAAGCCTTTATAAAGTCTTTTAAAAACCTCTTGTCTGTTCCAATGGTGGGGTGTAGACAGCCGTTGGAACCCTGAGCCAACGCCTGTGCTGTCTTTGTTAAACTGTGTGTCTTGGCACATCCCTGGAGAGTAAGCTGCTGAGCCGGATCTGTGAGCACGACGATGGAACATTCTTCATCCCCAACTCCCTCGGGCCACCCGCCCCTGGACTCGTCGCCCCCTCACCTGTACCCATACTGACCCCTGAGGTTTACAGAGAGGTCCCAGACAGGGGCGGCATTAACCAACTTTGAGGACGATTACAGAAGAGTAAGAGAAAACACTTTTAGGATGAATTTACGGGATGAACTTACGAAGACACTTAGGATTGAACAAATGGACAAAACCATATGAAAATAGACATTACAAGCCATGGACAAAACCACATATAAGTAGACATTGCACATTATCATACCAATATGCAAACTACAGTCTAATCAACTATGAATTATGCTCTAATAAACTATATATTCAATAAACTATGTAAAGCTGTAGTCTAAAGAACTGAGTAAGGCTCTTAACAAACCACATAACTATGTTACCCTCTAACCACACACCATATACTGCATTCAACAAACCTGCAATAAATACCATCAAATATGTTAGCATGACTGTTGCAGCGATCACTATCTCTGGAATGCATAGTCACTTTGTATTTCTTCCCATGTGTATTTCTCCCTCTCCAGCCTAGGCCACTAATATTTGAGACTGAGAGCCCTCCCTCCTCATGGCCCCAGCGTCCCCCGGCTTTGACGAGAATGAAATCGACACTGGCAAGGTGACGTAGTTCTTCAAGGTACCCCTGAACAAACTTCCAGACATCATGACAGTAGCATCAGGGGGCCGAGGGGAGAAGCAGCAACCCCCTGTTATCTCTATGGTGGGACCCCAGACACCCACCAACTGGATGTACGTCCCCAAGACCACCCAGCTTCCTCCTCCCCGGACACAGCCACCTCCACCCCCACTGACAGAAATCTTTGTACCAGGTGAGTCTCGTTTTTTTAATTCACCATTTGAGAAATTATATTATGTACAGTGAAGGAAAAAAGTATTTGATCCCCTGCTGATTTTATATGTTTGCCCACTGACAAAGACATGATCAGTCTATAATTGTAATGGTAGGTTTATTTGAGCAGTGAGAGACAGAATAACAACAACAAAATCCAGAAAAACGCATGTCAAAAATGTTATAAATTGATTTGCATTTTAATGATGGAAATAAGTATTTTGACCCTCTACAAAACATGACTTTAGTACTTGTGGGCAAAACCCTTTTTGGCAATCACAGAGGTCAGACTTTTTCTTGTAGTTGGCCAACATGGTTTGCACACATCTCAGGAGGGATTTTGTCCCACTCCTCTTTGCAGATCTTCTCCAAGTCATTAAGGTTTCGAGGCTGGACGTTTGGCAACTCGAACCTTCAGTTCCCTCCACAGATTTTCTATGGGATTAAGGTCTGGAGACTGGCTAGGCCACTCCAGGACCTTAATGTGCTTCTTCTTGAGCCACTCCTTTGTTGCCTTGGCTGTGTGTTTTTGGGTCATTGTCATGCTGGAATAACCCATCCACGACCCATTTTCAATGCCCTGGCTGAGGGAAGGAGGTTCTCACCCACGATTTGACGGTACAATGGCCCCGTCCATCGTCCCTTTGATGCGGTGAAGTTGTCCTGTCCCCCTTAGCAGAAAAACACCCCAAAGCATAATGTTTTCCACCCCCATGCTTCACAGTAGGTATTGGTGTTCTTTGGATTGCAACTCAGCATTCTTTGTCCTCCAAACACGACAAGTTCTATTTTGGTTTCATCTGACCATATGACATATGACATTCTCCCAATCCTCTTCTGGATCATCCAATGCACTCTAGCAAACTTCAGACGGGCCTGGACATGTACTGGCTTAAGCAGGGGGACACGTCTGGCCCTGCAGGATTTGAGTCCCTGGCGGCGTAGTGTGTTACTGATGGTAGGCTTTGTTACTTTGGTCCCAGCTCTCTGCAGGTCATTCACTAGGTCCCCCCGTGTGGTTCTGGGATTTTTGCTCACCGTCTTGTGATCATTTTGACCCCACGGGGTGAGATCTTGCGTGGAGCCCCAGATCGAGGGAGATTATCAGTGGTCTTGTATGTCTTCATTTCCTAATATTGCTCCCACAGTTGATTTCTTCAAACCAAGCTGCTTACCTATTGCAGATTCAGTCTTCCCAGCCTGGTGTAGGTCTACAATCTTTGTCCCTGACATCCTCAGAGAACTTTTGGTCTGGCCATGGTGGAGAGTTTGGAATCTGATTGATGAATGCTTCGTGGACAGGTGTCTTTTATACAGGTAACAAGCTGAGATTAGGAGCACTCCCTTTAAGAGTCTGTGCTCCTAATCTCAGCTCGATACCTGTATAAAAGACACCTGGGAGCCAGAAATCTTTCTGATTGAGAGGGGGTCAAATACTTATTTCCCTCATTAAAAGCAAATCAATTTTATAACATTTTTGACATGCGTTTTTCTGGATTTTTTTTTGTTGTTATTCTGTCTCTCACTGTTCAAATAAACCTACCATTAAAATTATAGACTGATCATTCTTTGTCAGTGGGCAAACGTACAAATCAGCAGGGGATCAAATACTTTTTTCCTCACTGTAGGTTACATCTCAAACTGTGAAAACAATTAATTGTGACATATTTTTCATTTCATTTCCTTATTACTCCTTATCTCTTGGTAACACCACCCTGAAACTGTTTCTCATGTCAAACGTGTATTGTTTGTTTTTGTGTGTGTTAACAAGCGAAGTCGTCTTATTTGAACATGGATTTCTTCATACATTTGCATACACCATACACCCACTATAAACGTTTTTTATATGGTAGACTCAGATCTGTTTCCTTGTTCAGGGTATGTCATAATGTTACAAAACCAATTGTCACATTTTTAACAAACAGATGGTATTAACCATTTGTCTCTCTGTTAGTCTGTGTGTTAAATCAAATCAAATCAAATCAAATTTTATTGGTCACATGCGCCGAATACAACAGGTGCAGACATTACAGTGAAATGCTTACTTACAGCCCTTAACCAACAGTGCATTTATTTTAAACAAAAAAAAAAGTAAAAATAAAACAACAACAAAAAAAAGTGTTGAGAAAAAAAAGAGCAGAAGTAAAATAAAGTGACAGTAGGGAGGCTATATATACAGGGGGGTACCATTGCAGAGTCAATGTGCGGAGGCACCGGCTAGTTGAGGTAGTTGAGGTGTAAATATAAAGTCCTATAATATAAGCATTTATAAAACAAGTGTAATGCTTTATAACTTGTTATAAGGATGTAGAAGCCTTTATAAAGTCTTAAAAAAACCTCTTGTCTGTTCCAGTGGTGGGTTGCAGACAGCCGTTGGACCCTGGGCCATGTCGTCAGTATGTGGTCAGGTGGTACTACGACCCGGAAGCCAACGCCTGTGCCCAGTTCTGGTACGGAGGTTGTCAGGGCAACGAAAATCAGTTTGAGTTGGAGGCCAGGTGCAGGAGCACCTGCGTCCGCACGTAATAGACAGTTGTGCTTTGTTTAAAGAGAGAATGGCCGTGTGCAAAGCCTGCACATTTCCCGATGATGCCAGAGGGATGCACTGAGGACATTGGCTCCTATCTATCTATGGCTGCATCCTAATTCTCCCAAGGATGGGGAGTGTGTAAATGCATACTTTGGGATAAGTGTGGAGAATCGGGACACAGCCTCTCTATCAGTTACAGTTTGACCAAAGCTCAGGCAAACGACAGCACTGCTACACTGATGCTCCAGGGACGACCTGTATGCTCTCTTAATTTCTCTATTGTGTTCTTTATGTAGTCTGTGAACCACCCCCTGTACTGTACAAATGTTCAACTTGTTTATATTTTTTAATATTTTCACACAACCTTGTTTTTACTCATTGTGTTGCTTAAAATAATTGTCCATTAAAAGACACCTTAATAACTTCCAAACCAAAAACAGATTCTCACAGGTCAGGAGTCTCATGACATAAAATGATCTATCTATGTTGTGTACTGAACTTAGTCAAGATTTATCTCAGTTTCATCTTTAGCTAACAATCTGAATTTAATATTGCGCTAGACCTCCAGAAATCTGTAGAACACATTAAGTACATACTTCTATTTTAATTTTAACAAAATATCATGTTAACCTTTGTTTTACTGTAATATGTTTTTAAGAAATGAACACTTGACTGTAAAATATCTATATCTTTTACATTGTACAACAAAAGCAAAGAAGGAAATGTGAAACGCAAACAACAGAATGAACTTAGCTGTTTGTTTGAATAAAAATATCCCCAAAATATAGAATGCCCGAATCATAATAAATATCATGTGTACAGACAAAGGACATAAACTGCGGATACGATGACCAGTTGTGGTCGATAGTGCAAACCTACAGTTAAAGGCAACGTCTGGAAGATTCGTTGCTTGTCAATGCAAATTTGATTAATTATATACAATAAATAGCAAATGCCTTATGAGCTTAGTACAATTGTCTCCCACTGTCACAAAAAACTATATTACTCTATTGTACATGTATTTGATGTCTATGTAAACAAACAATGTATAGCTTCAAAATATGTTTAAATCTACCAAGTCGATGAATTTGAGAGTGGTTCCATTTCCCCAGTCTCATTGCAGGCTGTTGTTTCCGGCATTTAAACATGACACAGTAATAAGTGCTTTATTTCAGCGCAGTAGTCGTTCTGTGATATCTCTGTGTTAAGCAGAGACAGGTGTGGTGGGGTTACTCTCAATTTCAGCTGCTGCAGCATCAGGGTTGTACCTGTACTTGTATCCATAGGGCCGTAGATGATAGGTGAGGTATTCCAGGGTGTACATCTCTACAGAGTAGATGTAGTGAAATGATACGGCGTGATCTGAACAACATTCTGGGCCCTGGGGGAAAGAAGAACGATTAAGTATATTAATAGTAGTTTAGGTAGTATATCAAATGCTGTATTAAGCCTGTATAAAACATTATACAAGTGTTTATATGAGGCCCAGCGATAGACTAGAAACCAGGTGGTGTACTTGTACATCAAGCTGCCTCACGCTACAGAAAACAAGATATGGGCTCTTGTCTTATGAGCCTTTCCGGCTCGCACAAGCTTGGCTACTTACTTATAATAAGTACAAAGCCATGAGTAAATATTTACTTTAGCTAGTCATGAGCCATAATCAAAAATCACTGAATGCCAAACTCAAAGCATCTATGACATCTCTCACAATACATTACACATGATTGAGAGAGCATTACACCCACACACAGAGCTGAAAATATAATATAATTGAATCGTATGTATGAGCATACAGTTGAAGTCGGAGGTTTACATACACCTTAGCCAAATACATTTAAACTCAGTTTTTCACAATTCCTGATATTTAATCCTAGTAATAATTCCCTGTCTTAGGTCAGTTAGGATCATCACTTTATTTTAAGAATGTGAAATGTCAGAATAATAGTAGAGAGAATTATTTATTTCAGCTTTTATTTCTTTAATCACATTCCCAGTGGGTCAGAAGTTTACATACACTCAATTAGTATTTGGTAGCATTGCGTTTAAATTGTTTAACTTGGGTCCAACGTTTCGGGTAGCCTTCCACAAGCTTCCCACAATAATTTGGGTGAATTTTGGCCCATTCCTCCTGACAGAGTTGGTGTAACTGAGTCAGGTTTGTAGGCCTCCTTGCTTGCACACGCTTTTTCAGTTCTGTCCACACATTTTCTATAGGATTGAGGTCAGGGCTTTGTGATGGCCACTCCAATACCTTCACTTTGTTGTCCTTAAGCCATTTTGCCACAACTTTGGAAGTATGCTTGGGTCATTGTCCATTTGGAGACCCATTTGCGACCAAGCTTTAACTTCCTGACTGATGTCTTGAGATGTTGCTTCAATATATCCATATCATTTTCCTTCCTCATGATGCCATCTATTTTGTGAAGTGCACCAGTCCCTCCTGCAGCAAAGCACCCCCACAGCATGATGCTGCCACCCCCATGCTTTACGGTTGGGATGGTGTTCTTCGGATTGCAAGTTACCCCCTTTTTCCTCCAAACATAACAATGGTCATTATAATAATAATAATAATAATAATATGCCATTTAGCAGACGCTTTTATCCAAAGCGACTTACAGTCATGCGTGCATACATTTTTGTGTATGGGTGGTCCCGGGGATCGAACCCACTACCTTGGCGTTACAAGCGCCGTGCTCTACCAGCTGAGCTACAGAGGACCACATTATGGCCAAACAGTTCTATTTTTGTTTCATCAGACCAGAGGACATTTCTCCAAAAAGTACGATCTTTGTCCCCATGTGCAGTTGCAAACCGTAGTCTGGCTTTTTTATGGCGGTTTTTGAGCGGTGGCTTCTTCCTTGCTGAGTGGCCTTTCAGGTTATGTCGATATAGGACTCGTTTTACTGTGGATATAGATACTTTTGTACCTGTTTCCTCCAACATCTTCACAATGTCCTTTGCTGTTGTTCTGGGATTGATTTGCCCTTTTCGTACCAAAGTACGTTCATCTCTAGGAGACAGAACACGTCTCCTTCCTGAGCAGTATGACGGCTGCATGGTCCCATGGTGTTTATACTTGCATACTATTGTTTGTACAGATGAACGTGGTACCTTCAGGCATTTGGAAATTGCTCCCACGGATGAACCAGACTTGTGGAGGTCTACAATTCTTTTTCTGAGGTCTTGGCTGATTTCTTTTGATTTTCCCATGATGTCAAGTAAAGAGGCACTGAATTTGAAGGTAGGCCTTGAAATACATCCACAGCTACACCTCCAATTGACTCAAATTATGTCAATTAGCCTATCAGAAGCTTCTAAAGCCATTACATCATTTTCTGGAATTTTCCAAGCTGTTTAAGGCACAGTCAACTTAGTGTATGTAAACTTCCAACTTCAACTGTACTTGATGTAAGTGACCACTTCATTAGGGTTAGGCTATGCTTACCTCTCTGGGTTTGTAGTGGTCGTATAAGAGATACCAGGGCCGTTTTCTGGGTGGCTCTTTGATGAGGTAGTTGCGTGGTGGGTAGGGATGAAACGTCTGCCTTCCCTTCACATCTCTAGAGTCCCCCGGCTCCACACCCATTGTCTCCATACACTTCCCCAGAGCCATGTCTTCTATGGTGGAGATGTGGGAACATTTCCCAGTGTTGAATCCCTCGATGAATCTTCTGACGGCTTCTTTACTGAGGACATAGCCGGCTCCACCACTCATGTAACCCTGGTGGACGAACGGGCGGAACCTTCGCCCAAAGTATACAGGCTTCTCCGGGTCCTGTTTGGACAATGTGTATCGGAGGTTCTCGATGACCATGAACGTGTCATCATCGGCTTTGAGGACCCAGTCGTACTCGTTGCGGTGGTTTTGGTAGATGTGCTGGAAGGCTCTGATGGTCTTCCAGTAGAGCTGGTCTCTTCCCTCGGTTACGTTGAGCCCCACCGTGGGGAATTCTGTCTCCACTGAGCTCATGTAGAGGATTTTGTTGCATCGTTTGGCCCAGGTGGCCCGGATGTGTTTGGTTCTGGACTCCAGGTTCTTAGGCCCAGTCATGATCCAACATAGTAGTCGTACATTTTGGGACAGGTTGGCTGCAACACTCCTGTCCTCATCTGAAAGAGATCATTTAAAGATAATGAATAAAAAGTGTGGTCATTTAGCACAGGAACTCAATCCTGCACCAACCACAAACTCAAAATTCAAAATGGATTGAATAAAAAACTATTCTCACCCATCTACACACAATAGATAGTTAAATAGTTAACCAATAGCTACCCGGACTAACTATTTAGCAGTCTTATGGGGGTAGAAGCTGTTCAGGGTACTGTTGGTTCCAGACTTGGTGCACCGGTACTGCTTGCCGTGCGGTAGCAGAGAGAACAGTTTATGACTTGGGTTTTTGAAAGCTTTGAGGGCCTTCCTCTGACACCGCCTGTATTAGAGGTCCTGGATGGCAGGGAGCTCGGCCCCAGTGATGTACTGGGCTGTACACACTACCCTCTGTAGCGCCTTGCAGATGGATGCCAAACAGTTGCCATACCAAGAGGTGATGCAGCCAGTCAAGATGCTCTCAATGGTGCAGCTGTATAACGTTTTGAGGATCTGAGGGCCAATGGCAAATCTTTTCAGCCTCCTGAGGGGGAAGAGGCGTTGTTGTGCCCTCTTCATGACTGTGTTGGTCTGTGTGTGAACCAAGATAATTCCTTAGTGATGTGGACACCAAGGAACTTGAAGCTCTCGACCCGCCCCCCACTACAGCCCTGTCGAAGTGGATGGGTGCGTGCTTGGCCCTCCATTTCTTGTAGTCCACGATCAGTCCCTCCACCTCCTATGAACATCGAGGAGGCCCCGGCGTACTCTGTCCGTTCCATCCTGGATTCGAGGCGTCGGGTGGGGGGCCTTCAGTACCTCGTGGATGGGAGGGGTACGGTCGGGAGGAACGGTGCTGGGTCCCGGTGAGGGATCCTCGATCCCTCCCTGTTGCGGGATTTCCACCGTCGCCATCCGACTCGCCCTGCTCCGCGTCCTCCTGGCCGTCCCCGAGGCTGGAGTCGGCGCGCTGCTGGAGCTGCGCGTCAAGGGGGAGTACTGTCACGACTTTCGCCGAGGCTGCCTCCCCTCCTTGTTCGGGCAGGCTTCGGTGTTCGTCGTCACCGGCTTACTAGCCACTGCCGCTCCATATATCATCATTCCATTTGTCTTGTCTTGTCAATTACACACACCTGGTTCATATCCCCTCATTAGTCCGTGTATGAAAAATGTATGCACTCACTAACTGTAAGCTCTGGATAAGAGCGTCTGCTAAATAACTAAAATGTAAAAAATGTATGTGTTCCCTCTGCCCCCTTGTCCTTGTGGGTGATTGTTTTATGTGAGTAGTGTAGCTCGGTGGAGCTACTCGTACATTGTATTGCCGGGGTAGATTATTCCCCTGTGCCTGTATTTTGTTGGAGCTACTCGTACCTTTGTATTGCCGGGGTGGATTATTCCCCTGTGCCTGTATTTTGTTGGAGCTACCCGTACCTTGTATTGCCGGGGTAGATTGTTCCCCTGTGCCTGTCTTTTGTTGTCGCTATCCAGCGCAACTGTGTACGACAGAATAAACTCTGTATTCGGTGATTTACCCTCCTGCGCCTGACTCCTTCTATCACATTCATCACAAAAACAAAAACGTGCACCCACGTTCTTTTGTGGGGGGGCCAGGACCGAGTTTGGGAAACTCTGATTTAGCAGATGCTATTATCCAAAGTATTTGGTTGTGACATTGAAACATCTGCATGTGGCCTATGTGGGAATCAAACCCCTATGTCACGATCGTCGGGAAGAGAGGACCAAGGCGCAGCGTTGAAGGTGAACATACTGATTTATTAAATGATACACGAACAAAACAACAAATCGATACGTGACGTCCACAGGTACAAACCAACACGGAACAAGATCCCACAAACACTGTGGGAAAACCACCTGACTAAATATGGTTCCCAATCAGAGACAACCAGCAACAGCTGATACTCGTTGCCTCTGATTGAGAACCACTCTGGCCAACATAGATATACAAAAAACTAGACTAGACACAACGAGCACAAAACATAAACTCTACACACCCTGGCTCAACTTAAAAGAGTCCCTAGAGCCAGGGCGTGACACCCTAACAGTAGTGTTCCCAGCACTGTGCTCTAATCCACTGGCCTCTTGGAACCACAATTCTTTCAGGAATCACAGATGTTTGAAGATTCTCTCTCACACACACAAAAAAAGCTTTCTACTTAGACTTAGACCTTACATTGTCATAGCAAGTGGAGAAAACCTCAAAACTCATTTGTTTACATTACATTCGTTTTTGATGAATAACATGTTATTACAATATTGGGATTAAGAAAGCCACAAATAAAATGCAGTGAATAGATATTCAGAAGTAAATTACCTGAGTGTATGTGTCTTGGAACCCTTTTGTCATAATGAACTCCACTGGAGTTACCCAGTGAGAAAACAGCTGGTTTTGCAGTGCTGTGGTCTGAGTAAACAAAGTATTGAATAGACAGAAATCCTATACACAGCCCAGACACAAAGGGTACATGTGAAAGAGTGGTCATCATTCCCCTCTTTCAGACCAAACCCTGTGAGTGATACAAAAGGAATAAGTAAGTTAGGGCAGGTGAACAAACACTTGTTACTTCCACCCTGTCAAAAAATAATTTGCAAATATGCTGTATACAGTATACAACTGAAGTTGATTGTGCTATCATTTAAAATTAAGGATTGTAATAATGACTATCAATCAAAGTAATTGTTACTGTTAAAGTTACAATAACATATTTTGGAACATTTTAGTTTTACAGTATCTTAAAATATTTTGATATTATCGTTGGTAATTTTTACTGGGGAAAATGGGCTTACCTGTTCACACAAAAATGTTTTACAAGATTGGTACTATTCTCCTCTGATTGTGGATAAAGCCAAAGAGTAGAAGTATAGAGTGACTAGAATAGGAGCACATAGCGGTGTTAGTGAGTTTTATAGGCAGGTGAACTCGTGGCTTATCAGGAACCTCCTATATATGCATGCAGGGGATGTTACCAAGCAGTTTGACTGGATGTTGCCTTGCCTGATACATCTGATGATGAGACTGCAAGTATGTATGTACACTAGTATGCTATAATTGACACATTTTCAGTCTGTGCATGATCATATCCACGGATCCAAATTATTATCCGTTTTTGTTGTTTAAGTTCGGATAATGAACGAACGGTACACGGATCGTGCATTCATCCATTTACCTGCAATCACAATAATGTGCTAGGAAACCAAAATCGATTTAGCCAGTGTCGCCTTTATTTTTACTCTTTATTTTGGGGGACGGAGCTCAAATAAAAATGTCCTGTTTTTATAAATAACAGTTCTATAACATTTTCATAACCACTCTTTATAATACTTGTGTCTCAGGTTACGATGGACATTGAGAATCCCCTGGCTGATTTGGTTTTTGTCGTTTAAGCTACTGCTTCGTGCTGCAATGCATTTGTCATTTGGTGCAAGTAATTTCCAATAACTGTAACGTTAGATGAAATTCACGTCAATAACTTTACATCCAAAGACACATTCACCGCTAGGGGCACTATAAGAAAACATAGTCATCTTGAGGTTTCCCATCCAAATCTATGAACAGTCAAAGAAAAGTATTCTTCCGGGATAAACAAGGGCACGCTGTTGTGTTGAATAACTATCCTTGTTGTAATGTGACTAAGTTTGCCAAAGCTGCACATCTACAGAGGTATTTGCTTTTTATCTGAATGTGTCATGCGACATTTGTCACGAAAGGACTTGCCTTACATAGTAGTGAACGCGACGCTTAGCTTGAAACCTGAAAGGTGTGAGCTCGAGCCAGCAATCACAGCTTAATATAGCTAACTTAGTTAACATTCACCTACCATACAATCGGCCACCAAGTTGTCTTTGAAGGAAAGTCAAGTAGTTAACCGTTAAATACGTAACGTTAGTTGGCTAACGTTAGCTATCTTACTAGATTTATTTGTTTTGCGTGTTCTTCTAGCCAACAACTTCATGGCGAATCCTTCCCATGTATCAAGAGTTTGCTCTTTGTACAAGAGGATTCTACTGTTGCACCGGTTCCTGCCCATTGACTTGAGAGCGCTGGGAGACCAGTATGTCAAAGATGAATTCAGAAGGAACAAAACGGCGGCGCCCGAGGAGGTCACTGTCTTCATGAGGGAATGGGGGGTAAGTTGGCAACACTACAGAACTGCTTGTCATTGCAAGTGCACGGTCAATACATATAAATGTGTAGCTAATAAATGAAATTGATAAGCACGTCCTTATACTTATGCTGGTCATGCTAGTTCTAGCCTTGAATAGAGGGTCTTTGGGGAGACATGAGATTTAACCAATGTGGTTGGTCACTTTATTATAGAAGAACATGTGCCGTTTCAATCCCGCGCCGCACGATGGCAGTGTTTACCATAATTCCAGAGCCTAGACAATATCTCTGAACCTCTGATTCAAGATTTTAGCACCGCACACCCTTTATTTTTTATATATATTTTTTAACCTTTATTTAACCAGGTAAGCCAGTTGAGAACAAGTTCTCATTTACAACTGCGACCTGGCCAAGATAAAGCAAAGCAGTGCGATAAAAACAACAACACAGAGTTACATAAGGGGTAAAACACAACATAAAGTCAAAAATACAACAGAAAATATATATACATTGTGTGCAAATGTAGCAAGTTATGGAGGTAAGGCAATAAATAGGCTATAGTGCAAAATAATTACAATTAGTATTAACACTGGAATGATAAGAGCAAGAGATGATGTGCAAATAGAGATACTGGGGTGCAAATGAGCAAAATAAATAACAATATGGGGATGAGGTAGTTGGGTGGGCTAATTTCTGATGGGCTGTGTACAGGTGCAGTGATCGGTAAGGTGCTCTGACAACTGATGCTTAAAGTTAGTGAGAGAGATAAGAGTCTCCAGCTTCAGAGATTTTTGCAATTCGTTCCAGTCATTGGCAGCAGAGAACTGGAAGGAATGGCGGCCAAAGGAGGTGTTGGCTTTGGAGATGACCAGTGAGATATACCTGCTGGAGCGCATACTACGGGTGGGTGTTGCTATGGTGACCAATGAGCTAAGATAAGGCAGGGATTTGCCTAGCAGTGATTTATAGATGGCCTGGAGCCAGTGGGTTTGGCGACGAATATGTAGTGAGGACCAGCCAACAAGAGCATACAGGTCACAGTGGTGGGTAGTATATGGGGCTTTGGTGACAAAACGGATGGCACTGTGATAGACAACATCCAATTTGCTGAGTAGAGTGTTGGAGGCTATTTTGTAAATGACATCGCCGAAGTCAAGGATCGGTAGGATAGTCAGTTTTACGAGGGCATGTTTGGCAGCGTGAGTGAAGGAGGCTTTGTTGCGAAATAGGAAGCCGATTCTAGATTTAACTTTGGATTGGAGATTCTTAATGTGAGTCTGGAAGGAGAGTTTACAGTCTAACCAGACACCTAGGTATTTGTAGTTGTCCACATACTCTAGGTCAGACCCGTCTAGAGTAGTGATTCTAGTCGGGTGGGCGGGTGCCAGCAGCATTCGATTGAAGAGCATGCATTTAGTTTTACTAGTGTTTAAGAGCAGTTGGAGGCTACTGAAGGAGTGTTGTATGGCATTGAAGCTCGTTTGGAGGTTTGTTAACACAGTGTCCAATGAAGGGCCAGATGTATACAAAATGGTGTCGTCTGCGTAGAGGTGGATCTGAGAGTCACCAGCAGAAAGAGCGACATCATTGATATACACGGAGAAAAGAGTCGACCCAAGAATTGAACCCTGTGGCACCCCCATAGAGACTGCCATAGGTCCAGACAACAGGCCCTCCGATTTGACACATTGAACACTATCTGAGAAGTAGTTGATGAACCAGGCGAGGAAGTCATTTGAGAAACCAAGGCTATTTAGTCTGCCAATAAGAATGCTGTGGTTGACAGAGTCGAAAGCCTTGGCCAGGTCGATGAAGACGGCTGCACAGTACTCTCTATTATCAATCGCGGTTATAATATCGTTTAGGACCTTGAGCGTGGCTGAGGTGCATCCATGACCAGCTCGGAAACCGGATTGCATAGCGGAGAAGGTACGGTGGGATTCGAAATGGTCGGTGATCTGTTTGTTAACTTGGCTTTCAAAAACTTTCGAAAGGCAGGGCAGGATGGATATAGGTCTGTAACAGTTGTCTGTAATCTATCATCAGTATTGTAATACATGTAGCATATCAATTAAGCCCACGTAGCCATTAAGCCGACTTCAATCTTTGGGGTCATAGAAAAATACAAAACAATTCTGCTGTTTAATTTTTCAACCAATTCATCTGGTTGTTATATCCATAACCATTTTTTTATTTTAAGCCAATCAGATGTTTTATTATTAGGTTATTAACAATTGTGTAAATTCCCACTAGTGGCCAATTTCAAAGCTGCAGATAAACACTTTTTTCAGATATTTTTTGTATCTTCTCAGATAAATGATCATACTTTATGTACAATTAAAATATTAATGTGCTGATATATGCACAGGATAGCATATTTCATGGGCATTAATTACTATTTCTTACCAATTGAAAATATGGGTTTTTCATGCTAGCTGTCAAGTCACACAATAGCAACATAACTTCGTGAACTACAACATGATAATAGATTTCAGGCATTCACAGCTTACATTTTAAAATACATTTTGTCTTAGTTTATTGTTAAATGAACCTTGCATTGTTATACATACAGTTGAAGTCGGAAGTTTACATACACCTTAACCAAATACATTTAAACTCAGTTTTTCACAATTCCTGACATTTAATCCTAGTAAATGTTAGGATCACCACTTTATTTGAAGAATGTGAAATGTCAGAATAATAGTAGAGAGCTTTTATTTCTTTCATCACATTCCCAGTGGGTCAGAAGTTTACATACACTCAATTAGTATTTGGTAGCATTGCCTTTAAATTGTTTAACTTGGGTCAAATGTTTTGGGTTGCCTTCCACAAGCTTCCCACAATAAATTGGGTGAATTTTGGCCCATTCCTCCTGACAGAGCTGGTGTAACTGAGTCAGGTTTGTAAGCCTCCTTGCTCGCACACGCTTTTTCAGTTCTGCCCACACATTTTCTATAGGATTGAGGTCAGGGCTTTGTGATGGCCACTCCAATACCTTGACTTTGTTGTCCTTAAACCATTTTGCCACAACTTTGGAAGTATGCTTGGGGTCATTGTCCATTTGGAAGACCCATTTGCGACCAAGCTTTAACATCCTGACTGATGTCTTGAGATGTTGCTTCAATCAATCCACATAATTTTCCTTCCTCATGATGCCATCTATTTTGTGAAGTGCACCAGTCCCTCCTGCAGCAAAGCACCCCACAGCATGATGCTGCCACCCCCGTGCTTCACGGTTGGGATGGTGTTCTTCGGCTTGCAAGCACCCCCTTTTTCCTCCAAACATAACGATGGTTAGGACCTTGAGCATAACCTTCTGTTTTTGTTTCATCAGACCAGAGGACATTTCTCCAAAATGTAAGATCTTTGTCCCCATGTGCAGTTGCAAACCGTAGTCTGGCTTTTTTATGGCGGTTTTGGAGCGGTGGCTTCTTCCTTGATGAGCGGCCTTTCAGGTTATGTCGATATAGGACTCGTTTTACTGTGGACATAAATACTTTTGAACCTGTTTCCTCCAGCATCTTAACAAGGTCCTTTGCTGTTGTTCTGGTATTGATTTGCACTTTTCGCACCAAAGTACGTTCATCTCTAGGAGACAGAATGCGTCTCCTTCCTGAGCGGTATGACGGCTGTGTGGTCCCATGGTGTTTATACTTGCGTACTATTGTTTGTACAAATGAACGTGGTACCTTCAGGCGTTTGGAAATTGCTCCGAAGGATGAACTAGACTTGTGGAGGTCTACAATTCTTTTTCTGAGGTCTTGGCGGATTTTTATTTTTATTTACCCATGATGTCAAGCAAAGAGGCA